TATATATATATATATAGAAATGTAATCATGTGGTAAATATTATTTACACACACATACCGTATGTATATATGTACACCAAGGCTGGACAAATCCCAGGAGCTGGGTCGCCAATACTCCTTACAAATTACAGCTGGCTTCTAACTTCCGAGGTTTTCTCTCGTTCAGGGGTGGATAAACTCTGGCCCTACAGCTAGGGTGCAACTGTAAATCCCATTACGCATTGAAGACTCTGACAGCCACAGGCATGACTCCTAGAGGCAGATGCATGATGGGATTTGAGGGTTCACCACAGCTGGAGGGCTAGAGTTTGCCTACCCCTGCTCTAGTTTGTTGTCAAAGGAGTTGGCTTCTAAAAAAGAAATCCCACTGGCTCCTGAATTCCATATTACTATATGCACCCACTGTTATATGCAATTGTGAAAGAGGCACTCTCAGGACTTTTATTGCATGTCTGACGCCTTGGTGGGACATAGCTCTCCTTCCCCAAGGCAGCGCCCCATCAAAATGTCTCAATAATCAAAAAGAACCCATCGCACACCTGAACGGAAAGTACCCTTAAATATCGGGTGGGTGCCAAGCGACCACAGATGCCTCTGCAAATCCGTGTGAATATGAAGAAAGTCACTCTCACTCCAGCTCAAATTCAGTCAATATTTTATTGACTTCTGCGGTGTCACAACTTAGCGACGTTTCGGAGCCTGCTTGGTCCCTTCATCAGGCAAACAAAAAGTGACAAATATTTGTTTGCCTGATGAAGGGACCAAACAGGTTCCGAAACGTCACTATGTTGTGACACCGCAGAAGTCAATAAAATATTGACTGAATTTGAGCTGGAGTGCGATTGACTTCTTCATATTCACACCAACAAAATGCCTGATGCACATTAGACTTAAGGTCAATAAACAAGTAAACAGTTGAATGCAAGCTTGATGTTTCTGTGGGGTGCAGCCTTCAGAAAGATGGGCTGCTTGACACCAAGCAAGTGCACACTCGTAAAAATTGCTTATATTGCATTGCTTGCTTCTCCTGTGAAGACCCGAAGGTGCCTTTACTACCAATGTGCATAATACCTCCTTTTTTTTTTTTTTTGGTGCCCC